TTTCCTCAAGAGGGCGGGACCTCTTCTGGGACCTTTCCTCAGGGGGGCAGGACCACTTCCTGCTCCTTCCTCGGGGGCGGGACCTCTTCCAGCTCCTTCCTCAGGAGGGCGGGATTGCAAGCCCCGAGCACAAGCCCACGGGAGCCACAGGAGAGCAGCTCCCCGGGCCCGAGTCCACGGATCCCCAGCCTCCTTCACCGCAGCCACGCTCCACCCTGGGGCTGTCGGAAGTGAGGAGCTGTGTGCGGCCTGGGGACCGAGACCCTCTCTGATCCTCACCTGGACGAGATGGCGGGAGCCAGTCCTTGGGTGAGCTCGTCACGGCGCTGCCTTCCGCGGTAGCCAGATCTGCTTTGAAGCGACACTGACACCTCCAGTGAGTTTTATTTCGTGAGGAATCGACTCACATCTACTGAGGTGAATTGGTCGGGTGTTAAATAACCATTCGCGAAGGCCGTGTAAGCGACTATGCACGTGCCTGGCCGGCTGACCCCACGTAACAGACAAAGTGTGAGGGACAACGGTGCAGTCAGCGGTTCTGACCCCTTGCCATCGGTCCCATTACAAATGTTGCGATTCTTTGCACGGAGTTCCGGTTGTGCGTAGATGGCATGAGGGAGCCACGGTCGGGTCCCAAGTCACCTGCGGATGTCTCAGCCGTGCGACTGCTCACCCGCGCCTCACGGGGACGATGCCTGGCCACGCTGGTGCGCGGAGCACGTGCCCGTTTTGGTCCGTGCCGTCGCGGCCTTGCCGGGCGTCTGCGCTCCTCGCTTCCCGAGTCGGCAGTAAGCCTGGCGCCGTCCCACCGGCCTGCGCGTCGTGGGCGCGTCGGGTGGGAAGCGAGGGAGGGCCCGGGGACGTGCCCGTGGCGTGATGTCCCCCGGCACAGTCACGGCCGCAGTCTCCGCGCGCCGCCATCTGCTGTCTCCTGGGAGCTCCCGAGTCGAAAGCGCCATGTACGCGTGGGGGGCTTCCCCGACGCCACCGGGCTCTCTGTCCCCCAGGTGCCGCCGGCTTCTCCGCGTCCTCGCGGAGGCTCGTGTGTGGCGAGCGCAGTCCACGGGGGCCCGTGCTGGACGTGAGGGGGAGCTGCGCCCGCGAGGCGACACGACCCGCGACGGCTGCGGCCGCGGCTGTGGCTCCGTGCGGGGAGAGCTGGATGCTGCCGGCCGGCTCCTTCCCCCAGGCGCCGCTGTCCCCTCCCGGGGGCGAGAAGTGAGGGCCCATGTCCTCGGAGCCCTGCTGGCATAGTGGCCCTAAGGGGAACGTACCTGCCGGCTCTCAGCCCGGCTGGTCTCTGCTGCCGGCTCGGCGCTGACACAGCCCCCGGGGAGGGGAAGGTGGGGGGGGGGGGTGGACCGGCCCACGCACCCTCTGCGGGGTCAGGCAACTCCGCAGACCTCTCTGGCCGGCAGGGACGTGGGCCGTCCCGACCCCACGCGGTGGCCGTCTTCCCTTCCTGGCGGCCACCACGGCCAAGGAGGACGTCATAGGCCTCCCTTCAGAACCTGTTGATGCTCATCGGGTGTTGGTGGGTGGCCCGGAATCGGTCGCAAAGCAGGCCTGACCGCCTAGGGGCCGAATGCTCCGTTTCCAGCAAGGCTCCCCGCACAGGGCCAGCGGCTGGCTCCCCGGGCTCAGCTTTGAGCGAGACACAGAGCTGTTCCAGTCGCACCATCTGCACCCCCCCCCCCCCACTGCTGTTGTCACAGGCTGGAAGTGCACGGTGCTCCGGCCGTAGGGGTCGTTGCCTTCAATCCTGGACTTTCAGTTCAGAGGGAGGAACCCAGTGGGACAGCGGACGAGCCCACGTCGCCCCTTCCATTGCATTGCGTGAGAGCGTGGAGTGGTGAAGTGCCGGCTCTTCCTGTAAACCGCGGCAGCCTGGCTCCTCTGCTCGGTGGGCTGAGGACAGGGGTCCGCGCCACGGTGGCGCTGGCCTCCCCGGGCATTCTGAAGCCCACGTGCCTGCTCTTTCCACGCACGTGTGTACAGAAAACAACGCATGTTCGTGCTTTTCCAGAAGGAGAAGGAATATGAAATTCTGAAACAAAGATGACACATCCTGGTCTCTCCGCCCAGGTCAGGGATCGGACACCTTGGTCAGGGTGGCAAAAGCCTTGGGGTGGCAGGCGACATAGCAGATTCTGGATTGTTTTCCTGAGCGGCCGTCCTCACTGGTGGGTCGTTTGGAAGAGAAGGAAGGTGGCACGCTGGGAAGCTGTGTGCACAGCCACTGCCAGGGATGGATCCTACCCAGAGATCAGCTCCCTGCCCCACAGTGAATTGCTTATTTGAGTTACAGTTAGGGAAAATATTTTTTCTCCCTTTCTGGCAGTTTTGTCCTAGGAAACATTTGCTCCTGGTGCGTGCGTTCGCGCGTGTTTCCCTGCTTTACGTGGTCCCCTCGTCTCTCAAAAACACGCCTGGCTGGCTTCTGCCTCTCACCAGAGCTACTAATCCTCTGTGACAAGTGTTTATTGGGTAAAAGATGGTGGGACACCCCCCCCCCCGCCTTTTTGAGAAACTTTCTTTTTAAGTTTAATTCAATCTTGAAAACAGAATTTCTCTATTTCCCTGACCAGCCGTCCCCTCACATGTGATTGCAAACATCTGTCAGGCTCTGAATTGAACTGGGGGGAGCCCGGGGACAAGAGTGACAGCCACTCTGGAGGACTCAGTACACCGGGGAGTTTTCGTGGTTCAGGGACAGACGCGGGAGCCCGATGCACCTGTGCCCTCCGCTCTGTCGCGCAGACTGGGTGGGGCCAGAGGTTCCAGGTGGATTTGAATCTTTTCTGTCCAAACTGGCCAACAGGAAAGAGGTATTGACCTGAAATCTTTGAACGAGTGCTTTTGATGGTTCTATGAACCGGGGACCAAAAGGCATCCCCGTTAATCTGCTTTTATACCAATTTCAATCAGAACTGTGTTTTGTATTCCAGAGCCTAACTTAAAAGTTAGCGAGCAGTGATTTCTGTTACCGTAAATCTCATCCGGTGGTTCTCTTCTGTTTGATTTCTGTCCCCGTGGGGTGGGTGACAGGCACAGCCCAGGCGCTTCCCCTCCGAGGTGCACATGCTCCACGGTCTTCCAGAGCGTGGGCCAGGCGGCCGCCTGCGATCCCCCACGACTCCGAGCTGAAGATAGTATGTGTCATATATTTGCACTGAAGCCTGCAAGAACAATCATCGTAAACTTGAGTGAGCCTTTCAAGTACTTTGCAAATTACCTTTTATTCATTCCCTAAAGAAAAAACAAGAGTAGGAGTAGTTCTGTATTTGTTCTCTTTCTCTCCTCTGCTGCCCTCTGTCTCTCTGTGTCTCTGTCTCTCTCTGGGTCCCTGTGTCTCTCTCCACGTCTTTTGGAATACAGCCTAAAAGAGTTTCTTTTGGATACTTTGTAAATGTGTTAACAGTCACTAATAATACTAATTTTTCCCCCCCCCCGCTAATAACAGTGTTAAGCATTAACATCACCTTTTCCTCAGAACACTGGTTCTATTCTCTCTCTTTTGTGTAAAATTATTCTTTTATAAGGAACTTTCTTCCTCGGAAATGAAGACCATATAATGAGGAACTATGTTCCCAGGTAGAGCGAGGGAAGGTACGGTTTCTCTCGTCTTGTTTTTTGGAGAGAGGCAATGACGCTTAACAGCATCAGCACTGATTTCCCCTGGCTGCTTAATAACTGGTAACGGGGTCTCCAGGCCTCTCTGCCTTTGGAGTCTGAGCATTGACACTTGTAAAGCACATGCCACAGCTCATCTGACCCCCACACATGTGAGGACGCAGGTGCCCAGTTGTCATCCTGTGCCGAGACAAAGGGGGTGCCAGGCCTGAGGATGCGGGGCTCCAGGTGTCTACGTGGGGAGACCCTTGGGTGTCCATCCGTCCGTCCACCCCCACTGTGCCTCACGGGTGGCCGGGACATCATCAGTCTCCCAGGGGCTTCCCAGCGGGCCGGAGACATGATGCCCCCTATAGGTGTTTGAGAGGTGGGCCTATAAAGTGAGCTGTGCTCACTGAGCGATTACTAGTACATCCCCCCAGCTTTCAGTCATCACCATGTGTAGCTGTGAGCTGGATCGTCTGACCCTGTCATCTTGCGGTGTCCCCCCATCAGCAGAGCCTGCACTGCCGATCTGTGCTGTTACTGTGAGCAAGTGTGGGGGTTTCATCATTGACACATCGTGTGCGTCTCATGGGTTCCATCTGTGTCACGTGAAACACCTGCGTGTCCCACATGTTGTATTCCTCTGGCCATGTTGTGTCATTTGTGACGTGGGCACAGCCCCTTAGAAAGAGTGAGCGGGAGCCCTGGTCCCCAGACACGTTCCCGGTGGTGCTGCCGGGTCCCCGTCCTCAGGCCCGCCTGCTAAAGGGCCATTTCTCACCGTCTCCTGTCCGCGTGTCCCGGTTGCTGGCCTGGATTCCCGTCACCGGCTGCCCTGCTGGCACATGGGGTCCACTTTCCCAAGATGGGCATTAGCGTTTCTGTGGTACTACATCCCACCTGGGCCGTGACCACACTGAGCTCCTTTATGACTTCCCGCGAGCGTCGTCCATTACTACCATTGTGGTTTGCAAAATCCCCAGCAAGATCTATAAATGTACGTGTCCACTTGGGGCTGCAAGGCTCCGGAATATTACGGTGACAGCTTTGGAATTGAAATTCAACTGCATCCCTGATGAATACTCAGCTCTTGATCAAACGTTTTCTTATGGAAAAATGAGTCTCTTCCATTACTTGAAGTGGATTTCCTATGATAGAATTACACTTCTTTTCCAGCCAGTGTTAGGCACTGCATACGGCACAGTAATCACAAGCCCTAGATTGTCTTGGGGTTCAGCGGAACCCCTTGCCCCGAATCATATGCAAATGAAGCCAGCTCAGCTCTGGAAAAAACCGTTTCCTCTTGTTGTCCGGTCTCATTCAAATCTAGTATAAAAACAAAGTAGTTTATGTTTTTACGTGTTATCAGATAAAGATCATAAAACAGTGGCTATTGTATTTGGAATGTACTTTGATCCATTTACACATTTTAAACTTGCAAGACGTCCCCTTTTTGCCTCCCCTGTAAGTCTCTGGAGATCTGCAGGCAGAGCAGTGCAGGGAGTGAGACAGCCCTGTGTGCGGGCTGCAAGGCCTGGATGGATGGGCAGGGAGGGGTGGGACGGGTGAGCTAGGACGGCATCCCACCGCCCACCGCACCCTTCTCCAGGTACTGCTCTCAGTTCACGGATCCTTCCAGCTCTACAGGTCCGTGGTTTTATTTTACACGTCTGAGGATGAACAAGAAAAGAAAATTGACTGTCGTGTGGATGTTTGATACAAGTTGACAAATTCTTGGCACAAGTGGTGCCATGGGTTCCGTGTTTAGCTGGAAGAACTGCCCACTCAGACATGCATGGCTATGGGAGGCCCATGAATTTTCACCACATGGTTTCTTCATTCTCAAAAAGATGCTGATCTTTAAAATATGGAGGTCTTCTGAGGTTCTCCACATATGACGTCTCTTTATGGATAGCCACTGAGTGACACACACGTGCAGGACATGTGACAGCAGCTTCCATGTGCACCAGCACAAGGGGATGCCTGGTGACGTGGTCCTGTTTACTGATCCCACCTCCCGCTCGCCTCTGGACTTTGTTATATGCAGTTGTAACTTGTATCATGAGGGCTCTGGTCTGACACCTGATGCTGGATTAGGAAAATAAAACAAAAAGCAAAAGTAGCCCACCCAGTCCCTACGTGTAGTGTACATGTTCACAGGTGTCCTGAAGAATCAGGACCCATGTTTTCAAACCAGGTTCTCTGTGGACATCTCCCTTCCTTCCTCCTTCCTTCCTTCCTTCCTTCCTTCCCTGCCTCCCTCCCTTCCTTCCTTCCTTCCTTCCTTCCTTCCTTCCTTCCTTCC